TATACAAGAATGACCCAATTTGTATAGCCAATTTTCACAGGACTCTCAGGCTTTGTAGATATACCTTTATGCAAGTTCTCATTTGTAAAAGCAAGAACAAAGCAAAAAAAAAGATAAAAGAAACTATCACTCACAACTAGACAGAGGCATTCCTATATAAAATATATATCTCCTTCCTTCTCTGTTCTTGAACTCCCTCCCTTTCACCACTGAACTTATTATGAAATTTTTATAAATGCATTGAATTCAATAGACTCTCAAATGAATTGTAAATAAAATGAAAAATATATAATAGAATTGAAAATGTTTAAAAACTATAGTATTTATTACTGTGAGTTTGGAAGAATTTAAAACCACAGCTCATGCCATATCCTGAAATGAATTCTATATGTCTTAAATAATTAAAAGTATTTTTTAATAATCACAAAAAGTAGAATAAAATGGCATAGAATATTAAATCTCTGAAGATGGAAGAATTTCCAGAGCTTTGAAGACTATTCAAATTATAAAGGAATGATAAACAGGTTTTACTTTGGTACCTAAAAAGTAGGATTTATTTATTGCAAATACAAAGGGTTGATGTCTATATTACATAAAGAACTCATGCAAAACAAATAAAAAATGTCCAGTGAGTCAGAGGGTAAAAGGACATGGAGAAATAATTCACAAAAGACAAAATGTAATTGGTGATCAACATATGCAATAATGTCAACCTCACTATTAATCTTGATTAAAGCAATAAATTTCTGCTTTTCACCTATTAAACAAAGACTGAAAAGATAATGCTAAATGACAGTAAAGAAGTAATAAAATTGGTGCTCTTGGGCACTCTTGGAAGCAGTATAAATTGCTCTAACTATTTTGGAAAGTTAGATTGATAATATGAATTGTGAATATTCATTTAAGAATATGCATGCCCTTTAACCCAACAATTTTATTTCCCAGAATTAATATCAGGCTAAATATCATATATATGTATAACATTTTATATCATTTTTACATATAGCAACAGTCCACAGTCCAGCAACAGGAGTGGTCAAATATAGTATATCTACTCAAGGGATCTGAGTGTAACTGTTAAAAAAAATTTTAAAAGGAGGGGAAGGAAGGGCTCCAAAATTCCTTTCCCTACTTTCCACATTTCGTTTACTGTAATTATATTACTTTTTGTCTTAGGATCTGTCAGATGGGCACTACCTCTCCTCCCTGGTGAAGTTAATGCATTCTTTGGGTTGCAGTGGAAATGACACATAGATGGGCCATGTAGAGGCAGAGGCTCGTTGAAGAGTTTCCCCCACCCTCAGAGCTGCACTGCCTCAGTCTTCCTGAAGCAGTCATGGCTGGGCATCAGCTGGAGGAGGGGGGTGAGCCAAAGGGAGTCCATGAGTCCCAGTGAGTGCCACAGGCTGACCACCCACTCTCTTATTGTTTCACTCAGGGAAAATATTAAGGTCCCCCGGCCACCCAGTCAGAATAGTCTTTTGTCATATTTGGGACACTAGTTGACATATTATTTATAATAATATGCAAGCATAATTTCTAAACAAAAGGGGAATTTCAATAAGTTTTAAAGTAACACATGTTCTCCTTTCTCATTGCAGATATGCCATTCTCCCTTGTTAGGGACACAGACCCCTTGACATAGCTTGCTAAAGAAAACAGCTTGCTTCCCTCAGAGGGAAAGCAAACATTTCAGGTGGCTGTGAGTGCATGTATCTAGTGGACCTGGGGCGGTGGTGGTTCTCAGGCTCCAAGGAGAAGATCTGCTGAAGGGTCTTTCATGATATTTTTGTGCTCTAGAGGACACACACGCATGCACATGTGCACAGAGGACTCTGGACAATAACAAGCCTTACCAACACTGACACCGTTAGGGTGGTTTCCAAGATGTGCTTACCATGTAGGAGGTGGGTAGGGTAAGAGCAAGACTCTGTGGTTAGGTTGATCAGGGTCTGAATTTGGATTCTCCTACTTATGTGATGTTGGGTTAGATAGTGTTGCAAGTTAACATGACTGACTCCATCTTTGTCCCAGTTGTAAAAATAGCTAAATGCATTTCTACACTCTATAGCTCTATGGTCACAAGCCTGTGCCTGTGTTAGCAAGAAAACCACAGACTGCCAGCTCTTTCCTGTGGAGATGAGACACAGAGTTGCTCTCTAAAGCAGATGCCTCCTCAAGTACCCACATTTCCTGCCCTTACACCCAGGTGTGATAGACCCTTACTCAAGAAGCTTCTTTACCTAGGTTTAACTCAGAACCAGTGACCCATTTAAACTAAACATGTTTTTTTTTGTGTGGAAAATTTTATGCTCTGCTATAACCTGCATATTTCAGCTTCTGTAAACCAGCTTGCTTGCCTTGCAGAACATCCTGTATGCCAAACAGGATGCGGTTTATGCCTATAAGAACCTTTCCCTAATGAGGCTGGGGGCTGCACTCTATCCAGACTGGCTGGGGAGACAGCCGCC